TTACAACCATCTGGTATTGTTTATTCCAAGGAATTCCGTTATGAAAAAAGGAGGTGAAATATTTTATAACTGAAATATTTTATAACTGAAATATTTTATAACTGAAATATTTTATAACTTTGTTGTAGAGATTTACTGCAGATATTTAAAAAATGGTCACTTTTAGAAAATACAATAAAGACAGTTGAATTTTTTTATATTTGGTGGGGGGTAATGAAAACCAGAGCCTTGGACATGCTAGGCAGTGTTCTCCACTGAGCTATTTCATTGGTGTGCCTAAGAAAATATTTGTTTATTTTTTATGTGTATGAGTATTTGCCTGCACGTATGTATGTCTGACTGGTGCCCATGGAGGCCAAAAGAGGGCACTGGATTTTCTGGAACTGGAGCTACAGGTGGTTGTGAGTCATCATGTGGGTGCTGAGAATGGAATCTAGGGTCCTCTGGAAGAGTAACAAGTGCTCTTAACCACTGGAGCCATTCACCAGCTCCTATGTCACTGTTTTTTTTTTTTTTAATGCTGTCTGATAACTGAGTGCATGTGAAGTCTGTGGGTCTGTTTCTGCTGGCTGTTCTCCTTCTTTCTACTTTACTGCTGTTGATGGTATGGATGGCATTGCCTTCAGAAATGCTATGCTTAGAGATTCTTTGAGGCATTGTGCAGGTGTGTTCTTCAGAGGGCATTCGTTTAGTTCTACTGCATGCCTTGGTCCAGAAACACCGTAAGTTAAAACCCACGTCCTGAGCGTCATTTTTTTTTTTTTTGGTCTCTCACAAGGTGATATGCACTTCAACTACAAATCTGCCTGAGGGCTGTTTGTTTGCAATTTCTCAGACCCATTTTTGTTTCATCTTCTCCTCATGGTTCTGAGTAACAGCTCTCCTACTGGCGTCTCAGGGTGCTTGTAGGAGATGAGGCAGGGAGAAGAGTTTGTTACTCGCTTTCTCTAATCTGGAAGAGACAATTTCATACAGCCTCTGTGGGTGAATTGAATACTTCCCACTCCTCCTGCCCAGTCCACTTACTGAACTGGTACCTAAACTGGAGCTCTGGGTTAGTACAGACACACCCTCAGGACAAATACTGCTTTTTGTTCAATTTCCCTGGCCAGGTTTTCATTCTCAGTCATGCTTTAGTGTGGTAACTACCCAGGATGTTGTCTGGTCTCCTTAGATTTAACAGCTACCTTTCCAGAATTTTTGGTGATTTTTAGCAGGAGTGTTGACTTGAATTGCTAGATACCATTATCCCACAAGTGGAAATGTCTATTTCTATTGATGCTAAAATATCAAGGAAAATTATACTTTTGACTATGGTGTCCTTGTCTCATTCTGTTGCTGGAATAAAACACTCTGATCAAAAGCAATTCAGGGAGGAAAGGGTTAATTTTTAGTTTACACTTCCAGGTCACAATCCATCACTGAGGGAAGTCAGGGCAGGGAGTTGAGACAGGAATCTGAAGCAGAAACTTATTGGGGGATATTCGATAACACCGTGATCCCCAAGTTTGCATTTGTGTTAATTAAATAAAATTAACCCTGGGTCAGGAGGCTGTGTTAGCAACTAGTTGACAGAAAGTAATCATAGAGCATCAGAGGGCATCCAGGAGAGACAGAGAGAAACAGGAAGTAGCAGGGAGAGATTTGGAGTGGTGCATATTTTTTTCTGATTTGGCAAAGCAGAAGACAGCAGGAAGGAGAGAAAGTAAGCTAGTTGTGACCCAGACTCTCTGAGCTAGCAGGTTTTCACCCCAGCCTTTGAATCTTGACCGCCTGCCTGAGGAATGGTACTGCCCACAGTGCTTTGCCCTTCTACATCAATTAATAATTGAGACATTGCCACATACCAACGTGGTCTAGGCAATTCCTCAGTTGAGGCTTCTTTCTTGGATGACTCTAAGCTGGGTCAAGTTGACAATTAAGGCTAACCAGGGTATATGATATATAGGGATAGTAAATCTCATATACAGTCCACTTTCTTCTACAACCAACATTTTATTTTCTCCATACCTCCCCACATTCCCACCTGATTTAATACGAACTGGGATGTTGGTTTAAAAACATTATACTTACATTATGTAGATTCTCTTTCAAGCCTTTCCCCCTGACATTTGCATTTGTTTGCAATGGTATTTACAGAAGTTATTTAGATCTATATTTAACAGAACTCAGTAGTCAATAGGCAACATCCCAATAAATTCTAGTTCCTTTATATATCTTTATATAATTGAAGTTTCTTTTTAAAGGAACAGGACACGAGGAAGTATATTTTCTGAATTCCCATATATCCATACCATGTTCTGGTTTCTTTTACATGTTAAAGAGAGTTTGACTGAGCATAGAATTATGTAGAATTTTTTAAAGATTCTCTTCCTTTGTAAGTTACAGATGGAATGAAATGTGATGCCAGATTATGTCTATAGCTTTATTGGTAGCTTCTGTATTGACTAGAAAAATCACTGTAGTTAAATAATCCATGCTTGGGTAATCAATATGCTTCACTCGGCGGTGAGTTTAGACATAATACTTACACAAAAATGTCTTATACTTTCCATGTGCCATATCCCAAAATATTTCTCGAGAGGAGTCTCAGACTGTCACTAGAGTCCCCCACCCCCATGACAACATTCAGACTCCACATCCTTCAGGCCACCTTAGTTTCAGGGTCTGAAGTCAGAAGCTCCGGGACTGCCCTGTGTTGATTTCACATTTGATTCAAGCCAGTCCCTGAGGTTTTAGATATTGCTTTGTTCCATGAACTGTAGCTATGGCTTCTTGTGAGGAGACAGCCTCCAACTGCCTACCCTTGGGCTGCCCATGGGCTCTGTCTGGTGAGTCACCACTGACCTTCTCTGGGTTATCAGCCTCTATGGCTCCTGGTCTCTCTGGGCACCGTGGCACTTTTCTCCACTTTTGCCCAGCTCCAATGTCAGGGGTTTCTAAAGCAAAATTGCAGGACTTTTAGTACTTTTTTACTCTCATGTAAGTGCCGTGAAAATCAAAAGATGTTCCTGGGTTTCCATCTGAAATGTCCTTGGACAGTCAGCAGCAATTGAGATGCTCTTAGAACATCCTGTGTGCCACCGTGAGGAGACCGATTTGCTTGAAGAATAAATGTTCGTGATTCAGTTTCTATTTCCCAGAAAAGGAGGAAATGCAAGGTGTGTGTGACCTCCTCCCCTGGTCAAGCGTGTGGCCTCACCTGTGGCCCTAGGAATCCAGAGAGGAGCGTATGTTTGGATTTTGTGCAGGCTGGGGAAAGAATGTGCCTCTATATTCCAGGGAGCGGTGTGCTTGCTGCATTGCATCCTGGGAGGGTCTGAAAGCAGGAAAGGACTCTAAGAAAGGGTCGGCATCTGAGTGCTGCAAAGTGGAATCCAGAAACTAGAAACTCCCCGAGGAGTGTTCAGGAGTCTTCACAACACCCAAGCACTGGAGGGAACCTGCGGTGTGCTCAACCAATTTGGAATAGAAGGAAGACAAGGCTCGCTGAGGGGGCCCCTCAACCAAAGCAGAGGTAGGGGGACAGTAGCACAGTAAGAGTGGTGTGTGTGTGTGTGTGTGTGTGTGTGTGTGTGTGTGTGTGTGTGTGTGTGTGTGATTTAAGCTGCATGTGCACGATGGTAGTGTAGCACCTGCCAGAAGGTGGAGATGACTATAACAAAGCTTCAGAAGCATGAAGACATTTAGTGGAAGATTAACTCTCGGAAATGCTGTGTTTGTGGAAGGAGCAGATGACTGGCCCAGGATGGGAAACAGGCAAAAGACACTGAGTGGAGAGCTAGAAGTAGCTCTGCCTTGTTTCCTTAGGGAAAGACTGGGCTCTGGATGATCCCCAAAGACAGACACATTCTTAGGACTGTTGGTTTTGTATTTAGTCAGAGCCTGTGTCCTGGCTCCCGTGAGTAAGGAATGAATCCACTTGCAGAGTGGATGGATCCCATTGTTTTTTGGAAGTCATCAGCTGAGTCCTGGAATAGGGACTCTTCCTGCTGGTTCCTTTAGCTGAGGAACTCATGGAGTCAGTTTTTCTCCATTCTGGAAGAAAGGGGCATCAAAGGGCAGTACGGAATACCTGAGAAAACAGAAGGGAGGGTTTGTTTTGTTCACAGACCAAGGCAAGCTTAGAGAACTTAGGGAAGTAAGTATGTGTGTGTGTGTGTGTGTGTGTGTGTGTGTGTGTGTGTGTGTGTGTGTATGTGTGTGTATAACTACCATCTTTACAACCAGGTTCCTTGTGACCGACATCTGTCAGCAGGATTGGTCCTGAATGCCCAGACTCACATGGTCCCCTCCTCTAGATCTTCTGATAAGATGGGAGAATTGCTTTCTGTAGCTAGGTCCTCTGTTTTTACATGAACTAACTAACTAACTAACTAGCCAGCCAGCTAGCTAACTAGCTAACTAACTTATTAATTTGTGTGTCTGTGGGCACATGTGGAGGCCAGAGGACAACTTACTGGGGTTAGTTCTTTCTTTCCACCATGTGGGGCCTGGGGATTTAACTCAATTGTTAGGCTCAGCAGCATGCGCCCTTAACTCACAGAGCCATCCTGTGGTCTCTGGAGCTGGGCTCTCCACAGCCCTGGTCTCTCTTTCCATTTCTACAGGAGCACAGGGGCAGCTGAAGCCTTGTCTGATACTTTCTTGCCTGGTGGCCAGATCTGCACAGGAAGGCCTGCAGCACCCTGGGCGGGCCTACTAGTCTTGAGTAGAACTCTCCCGGGCTGGTGACAGGCTGCTGCCTCCTCTTCTCTCCTCTGCCATCCTCAAGGAACTCACATTCTCTAGTACAGGAGAGGAAATTAAGCCAAGCAATATCATAGATTTATTTTGATTGCACAGAAGAATCTCATCTGCATATATTAGAATAGAGGCAATAGTCAAACGTATTAAGCATGTTTTCTCAAGATAGAAATCTCCTGATTTTAGACAAAGATTTGACATTGGTACCTCTGGGCTCAAGAGATATTTGAAGATCAGGAGGAGCAGATGGGACCTTCCGTGACTGACCTCTGAGGGCCCCAGACAGGTGCTGCTATTCTTGAAGTCTTCCCAAGCTGTCTGCCATGAGGCTTGACATTCCCACAGTACTCACTCATTTAGATTTAAGGAACTGAAGCTACTTTTAAAAATGTAAATGTTGCCTGGAAGGGTAACATATTAAGATATAATTTGCATTAGCTTGAATTAATTTATCAGGTTAGCACTGCTCCCTTATGAGTGCTCAGAAGATGTGGAAATTGGTTTTGATTGGGGAAGGGGCAGGGAGCCAGGAGGGCCAGCTGGGAAGGCAGGGCAGGTAGGACCTTCGCTACGGAGGGCAGCCCTGGGCACTATTAGTATGTCTACAGATGAGCTGGATGCAGATCTAAGAGCCAGGGCACCAGAGCCAGACTTGTGAGCCTCAGATGCTTTGGCAGACAGCCTATCGATCATCTACATGCTACTGACAGTTCACTCCAATGCTGATGCCTGATCACCACGTTCATTTCATCTCCTGTGCCAACGCTGAGTGTATTAGTTACCATTCTCAGTGCTGCTACCAAATGCCCAACAAAAGCAACGTAAGGGGCTAGGGAGATAGCTCAGTCAGTCCATGTTTGCTGTGTGATCATGAGGATTCAGGTTCAATCCATAGTCAGGAAAATAGACCCCGGCTACTTCCATTTCCTAAGAGACTTAGAAGCATTACTGCATCCCTGTGTCCCAGTGTCCTCACCTGAAAAAGATGGATAATAGAACTCACAAGGGTGCTGAGAAGATGAGCAGAAAGCAGGTACTCAATGAACAGTATCATACATACATTTGGATTTTCAAGGAAGTAGCAATGTTATGCACAGGTCCCTGTCTATGGTCTCCACGCCATCACGAAGGATAAGACATTCCTAAAACTCAACAAGGCAAGATGGTGCTGGAATCTTAAGCTATTGAGGTTTCCAGGTGGCCACTCCAGTGTTTCTATAGATTGATGAGTCCTTTAGGACTAATGGATCCTTCTATAGCCTGAGATATTTGACCCATAGGAAAACCGCTCAGGAAACTAGTCAGTTTTATGTACTCACAGTATATAATGGATACCTGAACATGCTTTCAAAAACAACCCACCACAACTCTATATGGATGTGAATTCACCCTGGTGGCACCATGCTTGGTTCATGGTGATTGCTCACTACTTGGTAGGCTCTTAGTTCCTGTCTGAACATGCTGCTCTGGGAAGGTCCTGGCCCTTTTACTTAGTAGTGGTGTCTATTATAATCTGGGACTCAGTAACTAACCTTTATGACTACTTCTTATGGGTATTCTGGAAGACAAATTTGAAAACAAACCTTAGAAAAGACCAAGTTCAGTTCATCAAAACTCAGCATAAAGAGACAAGAGGAAGAAAGGCAAGCAGAAAGAACACTTGCCATACCACTTTGAAATATGATTTCTGGCCGGGTGTCGGTGGCGCACGCCTTTGATCCTAGTATTTGGGAGGCAGAGGTAGGCGGATCTCTGTGAGTTCGAGGTCTGTAGAGCAAGTTCCAGGACAGTCAGGGCTACACAAAGAAACCTTGTCTTAAAAAACAACAAAAACAAATAACAAATAAACAAACAACAACAACAAAAAGAAATACTATTTCTGGTGAAGGTGGCTAATTTATTTTGTTCTGTTTTAGAGAATGCAAAAATTGAAACTAACAAATGAAGATGTGGTCTTCAGCTTTCAAAAAGTTGTCACATATTGATATCTGATATCAATGCTATGAGAGCCTCCATGTTTCATGTAGAATAAAAAACAAAAACAAACCAGAGGTTCTATTTCCCAAAGAGGAGGGTTCAAATCCCAGCTTTAACATAGTGCATACATTTGACTATCCTGTTTAGGCTTCTTGGTCCAGAAGATGTCCATCTTCAGATGAAATTATAAGTGATCAGAAGCATTCTGCAGCCTAGGCTGACATGGAACTCACTATATAATGCAGGGTAGGGTCAAACCTGAAGCAATCCTTCGTCTTCAGCCTCCCGAGTGCTGGGACCACAGGTGGGTGACACCATGCCCAGCTTTGTCTGGTTATTTTTATTTGCTTTTAAACAATGAACTTGATTTAAAAAAAAAAATCCTGTGCTTCCGCTAAAAGTGTCTCTGCAAAGCTAACCTCCTGGGATTATAAAACAATAAACACAGAGTCCTAATTGAAGCTAAAATACCTCAGAGAGGGAAGTGGCACTTGAGAACTGAAGGATAAGCCTGGCTACAGGAAGCCCTGATAAGGGACTTTTAGGCAAGTGAAATTCCCTGACCACAGGGTGTGTTCTGTTTCTGCAGAATGGATTTCCTGAGTCTCCTCTGGATGCCAAGGGGCAGTCCGAGACACTGCCAAAGTGCATGGTAGGTCCAAGGACCGGTGTCTGCAGGATCCTTACCTCCTGCTTTGGGTTGCTCTCAGTACTAGGAGAGAGAGAGAGAGAGAGAGAGAGAGAGAGAGAGAGAGAGAGAGAGAGAGAGAGAGAGAGAGAGAGAAGCCAAGAAGCGCAGCCTGCCTATGTTCTTACAAACTGGGTGATGGGACGGCTCAGACAGGCACAGTATCTGTGTTTAATTAACAAGCCGGGGCAAGCAAATGCTCGCAACTGATTGATGCCTACGAGGGAGGCACTGGCAAAACACTCAGTGTCTGCCAGTTTTCCCTTTCAGGCAGTCGTTTGCTACAGCTCCCCAAACTTCTTCAGAAATATTACCAACTCCAAGTAGGCACGTATCTCTGGCCCACGAGGAAGAAGGCCACTGTAGATACGTTTCACGCTTGCTTTCATTACCCATACGGCCGGTCTTGAACTCCTTGGCCGTTTGGAGGTAGCACGTGTAGCAACAGGTGTACTGCTCTGACCTATGGACCAAAGAATTGAAGGCTGCAAGCTGTGGTGAGGCCAGAGCCAATATTGAACCAACCAATCCAGCCTTTTTCCCCCCCATCAGTATGTCTTCTTGAGCCCCTGTAAGCTACATCAGGACCATAGCCCAGAGCTCTAGAGCATTGAATCCCTTCTCCACACCAAATTTAACTTCTTTCTCGGAAGCTATTCTTGGCTTCGTACTTGACTTTGGTGGAGATTTAAGCATGAGTTATACAAGTAATTATGTACTGGCACTATTCAGTCTTGTGAACCAGGGAACTTGAATACACAGGAAAGCAATTGGCCACCGTGAGGAAGAAGCATGTGTAAAAGGCTGAACTTGCCGTGGCCCTCCTAAGCTGAGGCCAGAGATGAGAAAAGGTCACTGCTGAAGATACCAATGGCCATGTCACCCTTCAGGTCTACAGATAAGTTATCTAAGAGAGGAAATACAGAGAGGAAATACAGGTGGTTTTCACTGGGCTAGTTTAGTCCCCAGTGTCTGAAAACATTTTGAGCTCCCTCACTAAGCTGGAGGGTAGGAGGATGGAGCTCTAGTCACCCAGCAGGCTTAGGACAGGGATGATAGCAAGTCCTGTGTTTCACTGCACAGCGTTTCCCTACCCAAGTCAGGTCCAGTGCCCAGACTGAGAAACTGCCAGAAAGAAAGGGAAAGGGGAGAGAGAGAGAGAGAGAGAGAGAGAGAGAGAGAGAGAGAGAGAGAGAGAGAGAGAGAGAGAGAGAGGTGTTTAGTGATTACCATGTTATCTATAACCTCCCTTATTTCTGTCCTTTGCAACAAAGTCAGAGAAGACATTCTTTTACTCCAAATCCTACATTTCTTTGTGTGGATCCTAGTGTTTTGGGGCACAGGGATCATATAGCCCTGAGCCCCTCAAAGGAGTTCTGTTGTGAGAGTTTACGAATCCTTGCTCTAAGTATCTACACGAATGCCCTGTTTCTGCAGCAGACCCTGCTCCCAGGAGACAACAGGCTCTGATTTCTCTGCTACAACCCATGTGCTCTAGCGACTCCAGAGCAGGCAGACTTTAGACTCAGCATCACTTCTGTCTGTGAGGAAAATAAGTACGAATAGCCTGCATTTCCCTGTACCCGCTTTCCACACAGAACTACCATCGGAATAACAGTGTTTCACCTGCCTGTTCAGCAGATTTCCTAAGCCCTGCTACTTGTTACAGTGGTAGAAACACCAGCTTTCTGTCTGTCTTCATAGACGTAGTCTATGGTGCTACAATTGTCTGTAGCATGAATCTTAAAAGGTCTTATTAATAAAATCAAACCTGAGGCCAGTTATTGAGGTGAATGCTGGAAGATCAGAGAAGCAGAACAAGCCACAGCTACCTCACCTTGCCAGTTCCTCAGCTGATCCTGTTTCCTCAGACCGGAAGCCTCTGAGTTCTTATCCAAATGGATCTCAGTTGAACTGCTTCTTGAAAGCCTGAAAGCTTAACTAGCCAAAAGCTTCTAGTTCCTGGTCTTCACCACTTATATACCTTTCTGCTTTCTGCCATCACTCCCTGTGATTAAAGGCTCACTTTCTAGGATTAAAGGCATGAGTCACCATGCTTGGCTGTATCCTTGAACACACAGAGATCCGGGTAGATCTTGCCCCTGGAATGTTAGGATTAAAGGTGCGAGTGCCACCATTTTCTAGCCTCTGTATCCAATGGCTGTTCTGTTCCCTGACCTCAGATAAGTTTATTAGGGTGCACAATATTTTGGGGAATACAATACCACCACAATCGTCAACATCGTTTTCCTCATAACCTTGCTGATATGGGAAAACAAAAAGAACTCAGATGTCATCCAGTTTTTTCCCCTAGTCTGTGGTTTTCTTGGTCCAAACTGGGCCAACTTGAGGAGCTCCAGGTTGCCTGTTCTAGAAGTCTCCTCTTCCATCATTAATGGCGGCACTTCCTTTGAGGTCCTCTGAGGGAGGCAGCTCCGTGGTACTATTTCTCTTGGTTAAGTAGTCTACATGGGAAGCATGGGGTGTCCAGTGTTTTGCCATCTCAGACAAAGCTGAAACTAGAATGCACTTCCTCCTGATGACACTGCACTGTGAGAGGTCTCCAGCCACGTCCAAGGCCAGTGACCTCAGCTAAGTGCCTGGACTTTGCTTCTCCCCTCAAGGGTCGGGGGTTTAAGATAGAGTGCAGACGCGGATCGTGCTATTTCCCATAGGGCTGCCTTTCTCTTTTGCTGCCTGCCATCTCAGCCGAGTGACATTTGTGCCAGCTGCTCCCAAAGGGAGTCACTCTGGTGAAATGTCACAGGCTTCAGCGTGAATAGCCCTTCTCCATCCCTCATTTCTCTTCTAGCTGTCTCCCTCCCACATCTCAAGTGCCTTCTTTGTTTTGAAAGGACACTGCCTTGATATTCAAGTGCAGGAAAAGGTAATTACATTTCTCTTCAAGTCTGCCTCTCAGAAAGTCTTCAAATCATCCCTGGCTGAAATGCTGGGATTATTCCCCAGGGAAAATGATGTCGCGGTAGCTTCAGCTGCTTCTCTTCCCTTTTCTCTCACCTGCCACTTCTTCCCACATGAAGGCCATGGCGCTGGCATCCTAGAGCGCTGCTGCCTCCCGCCCTCCTCCGTGGTCTTCTGAGAGTCGGGGACTTTATCCCAGCAGAGGCCAAACACCTCGTTCAATGTCACACAAGCAGTAAGTGGTGGCTCTCCCTTGTAGGTGCCGCTTAGTCACAGGCTTAGTTACTACCTCTTGTAACCACTGCGACTGTTTGCGAGGACCCAAACCAAGGGGGGCATGTTTGGATGAACGACTTTCTCTTCTTCTGATTTACCATTTTTCACTTCTTCAATGTGAAAATCTGTACAAAGATACCAACATGAAACCATGTTCTTGTTATGCATCTGAATATAATTGTCATTATCTGAAAGAAGAAATTATTGATGTCCTAGGCAGTCCAGCACACAGAGCTGCTGTTTGGTGGGGGCTGACTTGAGGGCCTGGGCTTAGTCCTCACTCAGCACTGTGATTTTTAGCTAATTTATTTTATGTTTCTGGGTCCCATTTTCTTGATGAAATGTTAAGTGTTGAGTTGGGTGTTTCAGGGCTCCTGTAGTGCTCATGTCCAGCGCTTCTTGACAACGCTAGGTCCAGGTTCCACTCATTGTACAGAAAGAAGAGCTTCTAACTTTGGGGATGATTTTCACTTCTCCCCTGCTTTGGATGAACCTGAACAGCAACTGAATCTGGTCCTTTGTCATCTGGGGGCCTCTCCTGCACTACAGGGAAAGCTCATGTGTTTTCTTGTTCTCCTCCCAAGAGCTGGTTTTTCTAGTAAAATGACCCCTGTTTTCAGCTCGTCCTTTCTTCAAGCTGGATTTCCACCCCACTCACTCTCCTCCTGAACTTCTCAGCTGCTGACTTGCTTTCTGGTGTTTCTGTGGGATTCATCCCTCCATCTCTTGCTCTCTTTGTATTTCAGTCTCTGTTTTAGTTACTGTTCAATTGCTGTAAAGAGACACCATGAACAAGTCAACTCTCTCTTTTTTCTTTCTTTCTTTTTTTTTTT